AAAAAAAAAATAACAGTCTACGGAATCCTTAGGGTTAAACAATAGGAAAAAGGAATAATATTAATAAGATGAAAATAGGAAGAAATTAAATTGAAACGATATCATTATTTATATTTTATTCTCGTGAAATTTTCTCCAGTCTCACGTATTTCAAGATATAAATTAAAATACTGAATGTTACGACAGATTTTTTCGGACGACTCGGATTATTGTTAATCGACCATTTTTATCACTGTTTCGCATCGACCATTTTTTATAAAAAATACGTCCTTTCGTTATTCGCGTTTTCGTACTTGTCGTGCTCCTATTTTTCTTCCATAATGAACAAAATAATTATTTATTTTAAAAGAAAATTTAATGAACGATTATATTAAATTGTTAGCCTTTCTTTACTCGCGAGAAACATTTAACCAAAATGATATTTATCGAAATACATTAATTGACACACAACGGTTCATACGTATATACATGAATATACATATACACGTATAAATATTTACTACTCTACACGTACAATTTGATAACACCGTTAAATTTTTTTTGACAAAAAAAAAATAATATAATAAAATAGGTGTCTTCTCAAAAATACATACATGGCACACATATTACACACAGAGTGCAATAAGATTGACAGCTCGAGTTACATCTCTCACCACGAATCTACGTACATATATATATATATGTATATTTCCCCCAGCCCCTTTTTACTCTTCTCTCCCTTAATCTTCTTCCTACGTCTCTCACGGACTCGTCGAGATTTTATTTAATAAATTATAACTAATTACGTATATATATATATATCTAAAGAAAAGAAAAATAAAAAAATAAAATAATTAAAAAAAAAAAAAAAAAAAAAAAAAAAAAACACAGACACACGATCGGTAAAATTGAGAAAAAAAAAAAAACAATAACAACAACAAAAAAAACAAAACCGCGAGAGAGTGCTGCTAGAAAAAAATAAACGTTTAAACGTCAGACCAAAATACAGATAAAAATGAGAGTGTGACAAAATATATTGTACGAAATTGTTGTAATTTTCGACGAACGGCAATAATAATTTGAAAACGTTCGATCGATCAGATGTGCGAGAGAGAGAGAGAGAGAGAGAGAGAGAAAGAGAAAGAGAGAAAGAAAGAACGAATGAGAGAGAGTGAATGATTAAAAAAACAATGATAAATGGCGTGCGTATGTATTTCTAATAGCGTGATTAGATAAACCGCGCTAGCCTAGCGAAAAAGACTTTTATCGTCGTGTTGGTATCGTTTAAAGAAATGTTTTGTTAGGTCTATGTAAAGATGGACGAGCCGAATGTCTCTAATTCGACTATCCTTAGAAGTATATTGAACAAAAGAAAGATTGCGTCTTTCGGCAATTCTTTTAACGGACCGACAGGATGTTTCTTGGAGGCAGAAGAAATCATTTTAAATGAAATACTAAATAAACGGGCAAGGAAATGATGATGATATGATGATAATGAACGACGTGAGATGACGGCGATCTATCGAGAAGAAGATTGGTTGAGCACCGCTGGCAGGGCTCTACTAAAAAGGGATGATGATTGGTCTACCATCTGGGAAGCTGCATAAACCAATTACTCATCTACCTCTCCCCTTCGTCTTCTTCGTCGATGACGGATTTTAAAAGGAACTAAAATTGGATAACTTGGAGATACAAAAACAAACAAAAAATCTCGTATCACAATATGATGATCGTCACAAATATGACGATTTTGATTCATCCTTTAACAAAAAAAATGCCTTTGTTTTTAGGCTTTATTACGATGATTTAAGTTTAAAGGAATGAATTATTTTTTTCGATATAAGAGAGAAAGAGACAGAGAGGTGAGAGAGAGAGAGAAAGAGATAGAGAGAGAGAGAGATAGAGAGAATGAAATTTATTTGATTTTTTTGATTCAGCTCTAGATCATTCCTACGCGTTTAACAAATCATTTTGTTTTTCTCTTTTCTGGATACTTACGTATTATGATGGAACATTTATTAATTTATCTTAACGATCATTGTTATTTTAATATCGATGTAACTATTTTTAATTTAATATTATTAGGTTAATTTTTTTTATATAATTGCTTATTAATAGCAACAATATTCTAATATTTTCTAGATACTTTTAGGATAAAAAATTTCAATTTTAGTATTATTTACACGTTACACATCATTTTAATGTTTACTTTTTATATTGATATTATTTTTAAGAAAAATGATTTTTTTCTTTTTTTTTCTAATTTTAAATTATACATTAGGAAATACTCTATAAAATAATATGATTATTTTTGAAATAAGAGAGAGAAAGTTGCATCTTAAAATAACAAATGTTAATCGTTTTCATAAATTATTTATCATCTAGCGAAGAAACAAAAATTACAAATAAATCGGGCCAAACGATGATGAAAGCTTATTCTTATTCCTATTCCGTCTCGCATCTCTTTCTCTCAAATTCTTTTTTTTTTTTTTTT